GACTGAGAAGCCTCCGCAGTTGCGATCCACTAACCCCTCAGCCTCCATAGGCTTACCATAACATAATAGTGGAACCCGTGTAAATGGATCCAGCGGAGCTAGCACAACATCTTGTGGGACTCTCGCAAAGGGTTGAAACGCTCTCAGCCACCATGCAGGATCTACGGGTCGAGAATGAGACCCTCCGCATCCGCGTTAATCAGAACGCAAACGCCGCTCCACCCAGAGAGCGTCCAGAGCCAAAGGTTTGCCCCCCTGAACCCTTTTCCGGAGACAGGAAGGTCTACCGCCAATTCGTGTGTTCCTGTAACTTAATGTTTGAGTTACAACCTCGCACTTATTACTCTGACCGTGTAAAGATCCTTACCCTTATCTCATACCTGAAGGGCGAACCCAGAGCTTGGGCAGAGACCTACCTGGAAGAGGAAGGTGAGCTGTTGGGATCATACGACGGGTTCTTGGAAGCCATGTCTCTCCTATACGAGGATCCCAGTAAACAGATGACAGCTGAAAATGCCATCAGAAACCTAAAGCAGGGTCGGAGACCAGTGGAGGACTATATTTCGGAGTTCAAACGTTGGAGTAGAGAGACCCAATGGAATAACATCGCCCTCCGAAACCAGTTCAGGCTAGGTCTCTCCGACGCATTGAAAGATGAGATCGCCCGCATGGAACTACCTACCACCCTAGACGACCTAATTATGCACTCCGTGTCCTTAGACCGCCGTCTCCGAGAAAGAAGGTTGGAACGTGCTTACTCCTACAATCCTCCTCCTCCTCGGAGATCCAGATCCCCCCAGAAAGACGAGGCCATGGAGATAGGGGCCATACGGGGTCCGCTATCTCAAGCTGAACAGGAGAGGAGAAGAGCCCGCAACCTGTGTCTATACTGTTCATCTCCAGAACACATTGTCTCTACCTGTCCCCTCCTCAAGAAGAAGTCGGAAGGTAACTTATCAAATATTTGCAAGGCGAACCATGGTGAGCCCCTCTCTAACCGGTATCTTCTTATCCCTCTCTCCATACAGTGGGACCACGAGAGGATCACTGTTGACGCCATGGTGGACACGGGGTATGCGGAGAGGGGCATACCGAATACCTTGTATTCGATATCATCCCATCTCCCTTGTTCCCAATTGTGATCGGCCTCCCCTGGTTACTCCTTCACCAACCCGCCATACTTTGGTCGGAAAAGACGCTTCTACTACAGTCCCTGTATTGCAAGAAGACTTGTTACCCTGTCTTCCCCATTATAACAGATACCGAGACAGGGCTCCCTCCATCGTATCTCCTAGACTTCTCAGATGTTTTCAGCAAACGCGGGGCT